AAACGTTTGGGAAGAGTTCTAGCAAGACCTGAATGTCCACTTCTTCAAGTACCATGTCCTTTGTGCTGTACTGCACCCTTCACATTTGCATTCCAAGGCTTTTGGACGGTGTTACTTGCACTGCTGAGGAGATCCCAAAGGAAGAAGAGAAAAAGCCTCCGGAACCCGGCTTAGACACTGTTCTTTTTGGAGTTTGGCAGTTCTCCGCTTTTTGGAATTTTGACGGATTCCGGAGTCGCATGGCAACGTTGGCATCTGAAAAAGGACGGAACGAACACGGCAACGATGGCCTTCTTGTGTCGCAGGCTGCAAAGCCAAAGCCTGCGAAAGGACGAAGTCCAGAAGCCCAATGTGGGAATCGGAAGCGGTACGTGTAGCATGGTGTAGCCTATGTCAAGAGCAAGTAGGTGTCGGTTTGCTCCCAGGGTGTGTGTGTGTGTATGTTTTTTTTTTTTTAGTTCTTATGCTTAGCATGCATTGGCCAGGTGCAACCTGAGTCCACCAGACCTTGCAAGCTGAGATGACCCATTTTTGTTGAGATGTGACAGCCATCCTGGGCCTAGGGGTCGGGTTGATGGATCACCTGGATGTTCCGATTTGCAGTCGTGTGGTGACAATATCCTCCGAAAGTTACCTTGCATTCGCAGAAGATAGTGTCGAATTTGTTGGGTTCCTAGCTTTACAAAACTTCCCACTTTGACCGCTCTACTGTAAGGTCCCCCTGGAAAGAAGCTGAAGACGAAGAGGCAACGAATCAATTGAGCTTCAATCCCTTGAAAGCTCGTATCGAAGGACTTTCTACCAGTTGTTTGCTTGGAATGCTTCTTGTTGATCCCTTTGCGTAAGCCTGAACAAAAAGTCAAGTCAATTGCTAACACCTTCTGTGTCACATGTTTTCAATAACATGCAGCAAGCTGTTCATGGCTTGCCACGTGGTGCTTGTGACATTTTGTGACCGCTTTGAAACAGATACCGTATGCATCCTTTTTGGCATCACACTTTCTACTTGAGCCAATATTACATTTATATAATTTCATAATATTTCATATATGGCCACTCCCGGGACCAGCCATAACAGGTAAGGGGCAATCATGCTTTATGAAGAAGTGAGTTGCGCGAAGTGCAGCACACGCAACTGCGTGAGCTTGCTTTTCCACGCTCGTGTGGACTCCACACTGACTCACACACGAACTGGGCTCCAGACTGCTTGAAGCAGCCTAGCAACATTGCCTCGTGGTTTTAACTACCAGTAGTTGCCCGCACTGAATGGTGTGGACCGGGTGTGGACAGTCACTCAATTCTGCAGAGCCCAAGCACATTACATGGCATAACTCCAGTTGGTGCAGATGTAGCACAGCTTTCTACTTTAAGGCTTTGTATGATTCTATGATTGTATGTCATTGGTCTGAGCAATTGAATTGCTAGTTCCATCTAGGTCCTGTAGAAATTAAAGTACAAGGAAAGCAACGCAGTCTTCAACACTACTGCCAACTTGCGGTAGGCAAATAGAGTTGCAATTGATGCTGTTATATGCGCACTTGCTTCTGTATTATTGCTGGCAGAAAAGGCATCCAAAAGGTACCTCAAAAAAGGTGTGAAGACACCAGGGCCTTAATTACCAGAATGCTTTCTCAAAGCCCTTCAGAGTTCAGGGTTGAAACAACAGAGTTTCAATTTCGTTTTTGTTAAAGATACCGGGGCTATACTCCAGAGAAAACTCCCTCGGAAGCTACTTTTCCGATTGATTTTCCTTGCAGTTTCTATTTGTGCTCGGTTCATATGTGCTCATAGACTCATAGGCCTAATGTTCGGTTTCAATGCTATTCTATCATGGTTTCATTTGGTTATTGTTTGCTTGTTCTTGGCTTCTCTCTGGAGGTTCAACTGTACTCTTTAGACTCCACCAGGCATGAGCCTTGAAGAGTGTTTTCTTCTATCTTGTGCGCACGCAGGGGTTAACTCCAGAGTTTAGACTTTTTGGCTGCCAGTTTTGGCCGCTGTGCCGCTCCTCCGCTTTTGTCTCTGCGAGATGGTGGCCTTGTTGTTCCACTGTCCTCTTTGGCACGGCATTGCGGAAGTGCTTCTTTCTCTGAACGAAACATCAATTCGCTTGCCGATTGAACGCTGCTTTATGGTTCCGACCTCAACAGCTTTCTCTTTGACTTCACTTTCAAGACCAGCATGCACAACCTCTTGGTTGGAGCGACAGGCCCCAGCAAAATATAGATGTTCAGAAGAACGGGCCTCATGTTCATTTCGTCCTGTCCATGTTTTTGATCCCAGAGGCGGAGGACGAGGAAGCTCAAGGTTTGCTAGTGAGGTTGTTTCTGCGGAAAGCAGATCGATTGAAGCTTGTGCTGACTGATGTTTTGTTGGACATGGCCTGCTATCACGGAGCAGCTGCTGAGAGCGAGCGTTCGAAGCGGAAACATATTTTGCACCAAGACCGAGACCTGGACCTTGAACCAGCCAAGACAAACATTGGCATTGCTGTGGCCTGGAGCGCTGGAGTAGCCAGTGCAGCCATGGATGCTTATGCGTTCCGCACACAACTCGTCTCTTACTTGGCGCCTTCCCCTTGCATGCATCTGCCTGGCAAGACCTGATCCAGCTACACGAGCTCAGGAGCATGCATGGGCCATCAGCACACCTATGGTGATGACTTTTGCCTCGTTGCCATGAGCCACTTCTTGCTCCGACCCATTGCCAACCGAGCAGATGAGCATGAAGCACCCTTTGTGATCGAGCCCCCGGCCAAATCGATCGAGAGGCATGAGGCGAACACGGTTTCCGCCACTGCGAGGCGACAGAGCTTTGAAACCAGGCTTGTTTGCGAAGGCTACTGTGAAAGCAGAGCCTACTCAGACCGTGAGCCTCGCAGCGCGGAGAAAAACACCAAATTTCGCAAGAATTGCGCCTTACCAACAGCAAGGGAATGCCTCCAGAGATGGTCTAAACAAGATAAAAGTAGATATATGCACAGGCTAAACTTCAGAGAGTGGACTCCTGGAAACTCCCTGAAGCGGAGGCCCATATCAAACTCCAGCTTCAACCTTTTGAACTCCAGAAAACGCCCTCTGGCCCCACCGACCCCAACCCCCAACCTAAGCTGAAATGTGCAGAAAGCACCATTGACAGCTTGAAGGGTGGTATCTCTTCGTACATACAAGAAAGCTACAGGTCCATAATAGAGGCTTTTCGACCAAAGATTCAATTGAGCTGCTGTCCCTGGTTCGCACCAGTTGTTGCCGCACATGGCCCCGAACAAGGGTTGCTGATGTTGGCAATGCGCCTACCATTCAGGTTTGGCCATTTAGTGATTGTCCGGCAACTGGCAACCTTGCAGACCTTGTAATCATTATACGTTTCTTTGAGATGTCATTTTCTAGCATTCGTTTACGAATCCTGATGTCTATGATGCCTATTGACCGGGGGATCAATGCCAGGGGTACTTTCCTCCAAAAGAAATTCCATGAGATTCCTTCAAAGGAATCTGTCCTAGAAGGACCATGAAGGATCTATGATTATGCACGAACATATAGTGTATATGTTTATGGTCTGCGTTCATTGGCCGACTGGTTTCTGGACACCGCTGGGCAACGCCTATATTGGCGTCAACTGCTCAGCATGGCTGGTGCGTTGCTGGCACAGCGGCTTATGTGGGCCAATTGAGGCGAACGCGTGCCAAAAATTTGACGAATGCGCAAGAATCATGGATTGTTCTCGGCACCATTGTGATCCACATTGCTGCACGCTACATATTACTCGAATGTCCTATATATATATGTATACAATTTGCGAAATCACATGTTGTGTGTAAAAAACACCACTCTATTGACATCAATAGGGTCTTTGAACGATCCACTCAATATTGTTTGTTCAATGACCTTAACTCCTGTATTCTTGAACAACACATACGTTCGATTCTTTGCCGGAAAATGTCCAAGCTGGCGAAACTTGACAATGTTTCCGCCTCCGTGCCAGTTGAGCAGAGGGCTCCAAGAGGTTTGCTTGCGGGTTTGCTTGTTCATCTGGCGGAATTGGGCCTTGTCATTCTTCAACATCTCCAATGGGATGCATCTCCAGTTGATCGAAGAGAATTTTTTTCTGGAAGACCTTTGATATGACGAGAGTCGCATGAGGCAATATATATTTTGAGAATTGCTGAGACATCGGAATCATGAAAACTTTGGAAAATTGAATACATGTTGTAATTATAAGGCTACAATCGGGCTTCATTCAGTAGATTCACAGGGTGATTTGCGTTGAATTGTTTTTCCTCGTCAGAATTCACACAACAGTCTAAACATTTTTCACGACATATTGTTTCCAAAGGCAAATGCCGGTCAAGGGCAGAAACCAAAAATATCGGTTACATGGATGGGGCTAATAGTCTCAACAGTGCCCCAGTATGTGCATAAACTACATATAGGCACCTATCATATCAGTTCTTAGATGTTCTTAGTTCCCGGACAGGGAAAACATGAAAAATCGGCGTGCAATGTTATATAGACATTTTTTCTTTTATTTGAGGTGCCAGACTCAAAGGAAACAAAAACGATAAACTATACAGCTGCCCCAGCCTTTTGTTCCTGTTCTGGGACGTTCCTGGGAATCAGACACCTGGCCTGTCATCGGAGGATGTGGCTGCTGCATGGCAGGGGGGCCAAGCTAGTGGTCCAATCCAAGAACCGACTGTTTTCCTGACTTGTTTTGAGGGTGGGCAGTTTTGATGGTTGCAATAGCCAGCAAGAGTCTCACAGCCTGTCCGGCAGTTTCAGGAGCAGTGCATTTGTTGTTTCTGCAGACCTTCATATAGCATGCTAAGTTTGTCTAGTTCCAGACTTGTTGCCTATGTTGGATGGTGTCCATGTGCCTAGAAGTGTGAACTTGGCGTGAACCCGTGAGCCCTTCACTCAGATCCAGGCAGCCTAGAAAGCCACGGAGTCGATACCATTTCCTACCTCCCTATACCGTGACTCATGCGTCCAAAGTGACTCATGTCCAAGTGCTTCAAGCGGACACGAACGGCTGTGCTGCTGGCGCTGGCTGTGCTGATGTCAACCTTGGTGGCACAGCCCTCCACCTTCGCGGTCGCGCGGGGCATTGACCACCCACCCGGCCCGGGTGTGGCGGGCGTCCAGCTTTTCGGAGGAAGGCCACCGCGACGTGGAGCGAGCCTTTGCTTGCATTGGGGGGGGAGAACTTGGCTGGCATTTGAGATTTGGTGGAGAATCTGCTGACATGCAAGCTGTACGTTTACCCTGCAACAGTCAAGAGATTACATTTCTGTCAACATACAGTCACTAAACACTTGGAATCCAACCACCAGGCAAGAGGTGAGTGTACTTGCAAAGGGCACGAGGTTGCCACACTGCCACTCTGATGGTTTCTGGTCTTCAAGAATCAATCAAAGCACTTTATATCACCGTATATAAATACTTTATATGTGTTGGACATGGCCTCTGACTTCTCTTTGGAAGGACCCGATTAGCTGCTGATTTGCAAGTGATGACATAGCCAGACATATTGCGCACATTCGGTCCACATCTACATATTTGGTTGCACTGATGAATGTGAGGAAGAGTAAGAGGTGGGCATGTGGGTGGGCATGTGGGCATGCCTTCATCCATCCAAAAGGGGTTGCTTCGATACCAAATCCAGGTTGTCTCGACATGCAGCTACTTCTGCTGGAAGCGTGCCAGCAAAATCTTTGCTGCCTATCTCATTGTCGCTCGAAACAATGCCAAATGCAGCAGGGGGACTGCGGTGAGCAAACGCGCTAAGTTGCATTTCACTGTTCAAATTGCCGTGAAAGTGCCACTAAGCAAGAATCAATAATGACAGGTCAAGCAATTGCTCAGAATGTGAGTGATCCCGTCCAAGCTAGAGTAAGAGCTGCTAGTGGGCAGCTGCTTTAGCTTTATACACGGCGACTCAGGTCTGTCTTTGTCCAGATGCTGGGCGAAGGATTTCTGGGGAGCGTGCATGCGAGAGAGTCCCAGAAGGGTACAGGTTATGCAGACTCTTCGTATGGAATTGACATTCTGTTGTGTTTTTTTTTGTTGCATATTGGTTTGTGTGATTGATATTTTTTGCGTTTGTGCTTTCCAGCATTCCAAGTGTTCGACAGTGCTCCTTGTCAAACAGCTACCCACACCAGTTTCAAAGCGAGGTTGTTCTGACCAGAAAAGTGGGCTGAGTATTATCTGCATTTAGACAACAGTTTAGACAACATATGTAAGCATCCCTGAAGCAAAGCTTCCAAGGCTTAAACTGCAAGAGTCATGTCACATCTACATTCCGGGCAATCCCAACATAGCCTCAGTCAGAGCAATCAACAGAGGCTTAGCCTCACAGCCATTGGCTGACAGCCATGTCGACCCATGGGTGTTGTGTCCACCCTTTGTGCAGGCATTGCCATTTCGACCATCCCTTTGCACCTCCTGAGCTTTGGGGCAACACCCCTGCAAGTTGGTCTCGCATCTTGGTCACCAACCACGTGACTTTTCTGTTTTGAGTTCGTGTGACTTTCATGCATGTGACTTTCATTAGGCACTCCTTGTCAAAATGGAAGGACAACTACAGTGTTTGCTTTCCCCCTCCAGCTTGCATGCAGTATGACACTGCCGGGGTATAGAAATGTGTCCATCTCAGGAGCTTTGTATCACATGTTACAGTTCTTTCAACTTCCTTGATGGGGCCACTGTGCCCGGCAACCTTTTGCAACGTATCCTTCCCTGCTGGTAGCGGTAGCATGCATGTAGTAGTACAGTACTCTTTATTTTTACTTCTCTCACTACTAAAGCCTCATAGATTAGACTGCATTCTGTTTGAGGCAACTCAGTGTGACTGGGTTTTGCCCGGCTACTCACTGCCGAGGCTACATCCTGCTTCTCTGTGGCTCAGATGGTTTGTTGCCCTGCTTTGGTAAGTGCCTCCAGCAAGTTTGGACGTCTGCGAGTATTGAGGAGACATGGTTCAGGCCTTTCAGGTGTCAAGGAATATATGAATTGACCGACACCGTTCCGCAAGATTCAAGATCAAACAGTTTCCATTTCACAGCTGCAATTGAAATGAATCATCCTCAAACTCCGACGAAGTCACGACCAAGTCAACTACCAGCTTTTGGCTAAGATCACAAAAGTTGATCTCCTTTGGTCAGTACTTCTAGACAAAGTTTCCTAAGCCTCCACTTTCATGAAATTTGCGGGATAGTGCTGGCTCCATTTCGGTTCCTTTGCGTGGTGGTTGTCCAGGCAACAAGAAATGAAGAGTCAATCATTGCCCTTAGCTGTAACAAGACTGAGTGCGTTTTGATAGTTCTTAAGCGTACCAAGTTGTGAACTTGAACACCATTGACCATTGTTTCCAAGTTATGAACCTTCATGATGCGACGACCCACAACTTCGTCCAGGACATGCTTGGCAGGGGCAGCGTTCGCTTCAATGTTGATTTCTTTGTCGAGCAATATTCCTGGAATTCTGCTGGGGCGATTTCTGGCAGGTGCGAGTTGCACTGACACTTTTGGAATTCCCAAGATGAATTTCGATGAGTTATGCTCTAAGAGGGTTCTGAGTTACGTAAAGTTGCACCAAGCAGTTGCGCGTGCTAAGCCTGTGTGACGGGTGCTGACAGATGCCGGATGGGTAATGGCACGGCTGTGCAAGGGTGATGAAAGGGGATAGCAGTTGTGCCCTCAGAGCGGGAAATGGATCAGAGGATGAACTTCAGGGCTGAGGATTGCCCTTTTGGTTCCTTGGGGCTGGGCGCATGCGACCATCTAAGGCACTCACGGATCGGTATGCAATCCGGATCAAATTGAACAAATGTACAACTTGGAGGGGTGAGGCGCACGACTTGGAGGAATTCTTTTTCGAGTGCCCACTGAAAACAGTTATTCACGGTGGCAGACAGTGCAAGGCCGATCAAGGCCGCATGCGCGCATGATCACAGCGCTCGGCTCAGGAGGGAGACCCTGGTTTTTGCTGCCAAGCGTGGGAGGTTAAACATTCTCATGAGGCTCATGGCTAATATGCATGGCGAGTGGGTTTGAATGAAATGGATCAGCACTCGATTAGAGTTAGGAGTCAGAGGTGGTGTCGATGTACCGCTGCACGTGACAAGTTTTCCGGCACATGGGCTGATGCCATTTACACAAAGATTGGGGTGGCATTGGTAGATACAAGTTATTCGCATTGGTCAAGGGTTTCGCTGGTGACTGAGGTGCCTGTGTGAAAAGTAAATCACAAACCTCAGTTGTCAATGGTCAAGCGTACAGCTTTGAGCTAGCGAAGAGTTGAAGAGCTGGATTCTGCAATGGCCAAAGCCGGCACACTTGGAAGAAGGAGTGGTTGATTCATGGGAAATTCCATGCCATCCCCCCTCACACACATTCCCCAAATCTCTGAAAACTATTTAAAGCCTCCAAGAAACAGCGTGGCAGCTCATGTTTTTTATGGATGATATGCTAGATTTTGACCGGGCCTCACATCACAATTATTACATTACATGACATGTCATCAGCTTCGCAATCGCCAACCATTTCACCATATTTCACCAGACCACGAGTCGGCGAACTCCAAATTACAATGTGCCACGTTACCGCCGTGCACTGCGTTACCTTTGAAATCAACATACCGTTGGCTTCACATTAAATTGCGTTTCACTGCTCCAATTTTTGACTGTTTCCACTTCGCCCCGTGACAAGTCAGCGCATTGCGCATGTACACATTACATCAACACATGGGGCATTGAACAGCATGGCATAATCGCATCACCCAACAGCTTTGAAAGCCTGAGAACCCAACTTGTCAAACAGATTTCCCTATTTGAAACTTGCGCCGAGTTGTGAGCTTACCTGGTAGACGTGACAGTTTCCGCACGAATGCGAGATGTGTCTTGCACGGTATTGGTATTTATTAAATGTATGTATATTCAGCTTCCGCGCAATGCTTGCGAGGTGCTTTTGGTGCTTCAGTGCCTGTCGCACAGGTGGGGCAAGTCAACCAAGCCATGAAGGTTCAAGTCTGTGATATACCCATTTAAGCATATGCATATTTAAGCTGTGTTAAACATGTTTTTGACGTGCTCTCTGAAATCATAGATGCATTGGATCGCGGTTGCGTTTCTGCCTGCCTAGTGTTTTGTCATCGATCTTGATCAAGCGAACCGTGGAAACACAATTTTCCTTCTTTCCTGAGTGGGTAGCGAAGGGTTCCTGTTGATTTACAATGCAGGTCTGGGGGCTGGACCTCATCGTTTGTGTCGACTCGTCGCCATCTCGTCGGGGAAAAGAGGCACGCGCTCGTCGATCCAATTCCTTCCATCGGAAAAAAAGGTGCCGAAATCATTCCAAACATGAGGAAATTGTGAGGTTGCGACGTTTTGCACAGGTGAGTTTCGCTGTGCATTGGGATTGGCGCGTCGGCAGCTGCTCTTTCGCTTGGCAGTGTTGCATGCTGCGTTTCCTTTGATGAAACTTACCATTTCACTCTTAGAGTCGAGGAGGTCTGCTCGTTGTGGAGAGTTCTCGGAGTGACTTTTGGGAATGCTCGTTTTGAAGGCTTGCCACCTCACTTTTGGAGGACGTCTCGTAGTTTGGACACTTCAAACGAAAGCTTCGTTTTGGAGACTTGAAGGCTTGACGTGAGGAGTTCTCTTGCTCAAAAGGTGCCAAGCAAGAGAGTGTCCAGCATGGGTGTCTGATGAGAGCGTCCTGCAAGGGAGTCCTCAAAGGAGCGTGCGTGATGCAAAGGCGATGCGCGACCCCGCACCAAAAATCAAGATAATTATTCAGTTTATTGCTTGACACGTCCAAACTGCGCGACTCAAAATCCAAATATGTTATATATTATATATAGTGTTTTTTTTTCTGGATACATGTATAATAAGTACATATGTTTCTTAGACAGATGATTGCTAACAATACGCTGAAGTTTTACGTCGATCAACTGCATCTTTCATTGTTTCCCAAAGGTATGTTAAACCAGCGTCATCGGATTCCATTCCTGCACCTGTGGAATTGACTGCCTTCGTTTGGAGGCACCCTTTGCACGCCAACCGGTCCGTGGCTGGCTCCGGCTTTCAATGTACGGTCAGTTGCCGGAAGTCCGTTGGACCATTTGGAGTCCTATTCCGTCTGCGCAGCACCGGCTGCGCATGTGTTGACGGGATTTGACGGGTGCTTTTCACTGTCAGCGCGGCGGGGGCAGATGTGTGGAGTATGGAACATCCGGAGTCGATCACCCTTCCGACTTCCGACAATACAAGACCTACAAAAGAGCTTGGCAATTTGCGTGGTGGGTGTGTGTGGAACCGGTACATGTGGAACAAGCCTCCTCAAAGGCCCCTTCATGTGGTGTCGCATGTCGCTTGGGGGGCATCACTGTATACAAAAGCTGGTTTGTCATTGGCCATCGGAACGACGGCTTGGGCGGTTTCTCGAGAATAGTTCTCATGATGTTCTGATTTGGCTTGGAACTGTTCCAGACAAGTTGTGGGAGTGGGTTAGTTCTTCGGGCCTGGGTCTGCCGAGGTTTTTGGCCTTTGTAGGGTCTTGGCGCACTTAGGACTAATGGCGATGGCCTCCAACCTAGTAGCAATGTCCTCCAACCTACTAGGGATGGCCTCCACCCTGGATTGAGGTGAATTCTGCTCACTTGGGCGTTGTGCAGGGATGTTACTTGCGCTGTGCAGCTGCGTCTTGCTGTCTTGCTGTGCAGCTGCGTCTTGCTGTGCCTCCCCTGTGGAGGCCACGGCGGTGTGTTCGCGCTGAGGTATGTCAGGCGAGAGTGTCAAGCAATGTTTGGTCACTGGTGTTTGCGTACGTTTGTGCATTCGGGCGTGCGGGCTCCATTTTATTGCGCACAATTTTTTCAAGATGATTTGTTCATGCGAACGGGTCTAATTATATTATATACAAGGGAATTTCATGTTAGCCAGTGCTGCTACCTAGCTACCTTGCGCAAGGCCTCAACCTCCACAAACATAGTGAACGGAACCCCTTGGTCAGTGTAGAAAATCTGCCTGTTGCATTCTGTTGTCTCATATCTTTTGTCCTCAGACCATCTTGGATCCTTGAGGCAGCCGTCACAGATATTGTGTCAGAGGGTGCTGCTACTGCGCTGAGCCGTGTAGCAGCTGTCTCTTGACGTCAAGATCGCTCGGTTGCCTACGTGAATAACACATCGCGAGGGTAGACAGACACACCTAGCAATTTCAGCATCGACAGATACATACAAATACACAGTATTTTGTTTGTAGGGCGCAATGCTGTATTTGCAACTATGCAATCACCTCAGATCTTGGAATTCGCATCTTTGTTCATAACCATTGCTTTTGGGGGATGGGAGTTAATCTGAGATGCCAAGGCCGCGCAGTTAGGAGTTGTTGTTGGTCCTGCAGCTTCTGCCTTTCTGGCAGCGCTGTTGGGCAAGGCAAGCCAGCCGTGTTCCACGTGTGTGACCCTTTGTTTTAGCCAAACAGCGGCAATGGCAAACGGACGGCTAAAGGGTGATGCGTGATGAAGAATAGTGCTGGTCAGTGGAACGAGAAGGTGTTCATCACGATGGGGCAGCTAAGCTTTTCAGCATGAATGTGCAGAAAAGAGTACCAAACCATACCAAACCCATTCTGGTGTTTTGTTTGACTGCAATTGACCAGTCTAGAACAACAGAATTGAATATCTAAAACAACACATGAAGGTGATCCTGTTGCGCCGCTTTTCCACGGGCAGACATCGCACTGCCAGGCCTTTGGGTGGCCATCGAGTCTCTGCGTGCGTGGAGTCTTCGGCCTCACTGGCATAGCTGCTCTGATGGTCTTGGGCCTATCAATGGTTGTAGCTCCAGGCTGGTCTTGTTGCTCTCTTTGCTGGTCTTGTTCCTATGTCCAATGGCTCTGTGTTGCCACCATCTTGCACGCCCATGAAATCACCATCAATGCCTGTGCCTGAGAACTTGTGTGGCAAATCTGAAACTTGCACAAGAGAGACTAGCAGATACTTGATGGATACTGACACTGAAAGCTGAGACTTGTAATCTTACTGAAGCAGGGCAAGGGTTCATTGGAGGGAATCACTTGAGAGCCGCAATGGGAAGGAGGTGGCAAAGCAGCACAAAGTATTGCAGATTCTTCTTCAGCGGCGCAGAGAGGTGAGGGCTGGAACTGTGTCAAACAGCATTTACACAGGCTTGCACACTTGTAAGTACTGACACTGGCGGACCTCAAGCTCAAGCACAACGGATTCTTATTTGTCCCTGGCGGATTTTCGGGTCCCAGCCATGTGGGTCCGAGCCCATCGTCAGGTGAGGATTTGACAACACATCCATTTGCTCAACCACTCCTCCGGATGGTGGCTTTGGTGGTTGGATGGTCGTTGCTCGACTGCAAGGGCTTGGTTCCTACTGAACCAGCACCATGCCCATTCAGCAGTAGCATCCAGTAGCAAAGCAGTTGTTTTGCTTGTTTCATCTCGATTGTCCGTTGGTTGGCCCTTGAGTGAAACTGAAGCCATTTGTGCACAAGACAACATGGCCTGGACGCTGATGGCCTGCACAAAAACAACAGCCTGTGGACACATGCTTTTTCTTGGACGCTGGGGTTCTCCACTTGCAAGACATCTGGGTGTTGGAGTTGTTTTGGGGAACTGCGCAATGCCACCAGAGCAGGTTTGTGGTCACTTACACACACACAGCTCTCCGTAAGTTTTGTTGCGAAGCAAATCTTCTTGCCAGGTTGACCTTGAGCGTCGCTTGTTTGCAGCCAACTGTGCAGTGAGTGGGACAGTGACTTAGATACTGTGACTTTAGAGATGCATCCAGCTTTCCAACACTAAAAAGACTTGACGTGACAAGTTTGCAAACTTGGCAGGTCAGTACCTACTGCCTCTTTGCCAATCGATGCTTAGGCATGGCTCAGTATGGGCATCCTCCTGAAATTCAAATGTCTCATGCTGTGATTTCATGATGCCTCTACCTCAAAGTACTCCAATGCTTAGAGCTTACACAGTGCAGCTGTAGGTAGGTGCCAGGTGCGACTTTCTTCTGCACCTTGCAGGCTACGACCAGCAGAAGCTTAGCTTGGTTTTCTCCACGGGAGCTGCAACAACTGTGCTGACTCAATTGCTGTTGTTCCCAACATTGGTCTGGGACCTCAGAGGCCCTCAGGGAGCTCGTGATGTGATTGTGGGTACTGGTGATACTCGTTGGAAACATCAAGAAACACGTTGTTGGAGCACAGCAAAACAACACGTCGTCCACACACGTTCAGAATGTGTCCCGTCTTAGACAGATTGGCAACGATTCTTGAGCGGCTCTCGCTTCCTTGAAGTGTTTGTACGACTCTGACTCTTCACCATTCTGCGCATTTGATGGCTGGTTCTTTCTCTTGTTCACCACTGGATTCGCTGGCGGTGTACTGGCCTTGGAACATTTTTACAGGCTTAGACATCAGTATGATTCAGTATGTTGACATCTACATCAGTCCGCACTGAATTTTGCTAAAGTCCATTCTTTCGCCGGTCTTTTTTTGGCCACACGTCCAACTGAGGTTGGCCTCTTAGGCCCAAACCTGGCCTCTTGCTCAGAAGAATACGACGCTCTCGTCGGGTCGTCGAGTCGGACGCGCTCGTCAAGTCAGACGCTGAAGAAGGACTTACTGTAAGACTAAAGACGAAGGTTCAGTGCTGCAACTTACTGAAGGTTCAGTACTCTGGAGATTCTCCTGTTGCATTGCCGCAATCCTCGTTGTGCCGTTTTTGGGTTGAACACATCAATGGTGAGGGTGTGTGCAAATATACAGTAGGTTTGGGAACGATGCTTTGCCCCCTGTCATACCGATACTATAAATCTAGATTTAACATATATACAACAATACAGTCAATATAGATATAGATATCGATATATGGCAATGCCTTCCGCTTGCTTCGACTTAGCTCGCTGACAGACCTGCTTCCTTGGCATATGCTGCGTGGCTCTTGGCCTCAGTGGCTTCTCGCTTTGCTGGCTTCAGCCAGGCCGAAGTAGAGCTGAGTGGCAACAAGTTTTCGGGTAGATGACATCAGGCTTCACTTTTCTGACTGTTTTATTGTGAGAAAGTTCTGGTTGTTCTCCCCATGGTATTGAGCACCACATTCTTGATGCTTTCGCCAGTTCACCTGCCCTGCATTGTACATAGCCGACATAGCTTCTCTTCTATTATTGACGCATGGTTACCCCAAATATCCAAGATTGAGATGGCTTTGCGACTCCAAGTGTGAAATAACTACTACTGGCGCTACGGACACGAGTCCTGCATTCATTTCTTGCTTCTTGCCGTGTCCAGTTCTGCTATTGACACGAAGTGCCATCAGGGCACATGCTTTTCTACCTGCTGGTACGGATGGGCAGTGGCTGTGCGGACACCTCTACAGCAACTTTGGTGGCTGAAAACTCTAAGCCCAAGGCGAGATGCACGCGATGGACATTATGACATACATTATCCTTACAGTCACATAAAATGGTGGAATTTTGACTATGTAATCACCTGCCTTCTTAAACTGTCTTTTGCTATTCCGGTTGTTCTTGAACAGCTACTGGCATCGCATCGTTGGAGGACCGAGCACAAAACCTCGGCTTTATCACCTCCACTCGCGCAGCTACGCGGATTGTGACGCCCATTGTTTCGGCTGATTTGTTTGAGGCCGACATGCAAAACATGAAACTCGGTGAATCACACTTCCACATCTTCCACTGAAGTTGTTGCCGTTCCAAACTTGTTTGGCTGCTTTCCTGGTTGGTCAGCATGTGGTCCCAAATGCGCGAGGCTAGCTTGAACAGCCGTGCAGCCCCTGGTGCATTGCCATATTTGCTGCTGCGAACTCAGCTTTCCGGAGTCAGTATGCCCACTGCATTTTTTTTTTTCGCCGCTTTTGGTCCCGGGTTGAGAGATTATGTCTTGATCGCATGATTTCCTCCAGCCAAGGGAACGGCATCCACTTGGTTGCTATATACTCTTGTTGCAGCATGTCGTAGTTGAAACATTTGAAGCACTATATATAAAGGCTTTGTGTTTTTCTCACCCGAATCCTGTAGCTGCAGGGCCTCCTCGTTGGCTGCTGGACTCAGCCCAGTGCCATTGATGCTGCGAGGGAAAAGTTGAAGCTGAGGGGAAATGGTCGTCAGAGATTGGAGAAGTGAGACTAAGTCAACCCTATTCTTAGAGCCTATGTCTATGTGTTATGATATGTCATGCTGCAGCCCACAACTCAGGCTTTATAGCAACAACAATGTTTTCTACGAGGCCTTAGCCTGGGAGCTGAAAGACGTCCGGCTCCCCAGCAGGGTCAGGTGGCATAGGAATTCAACGATTCTTCCTGATTGGAAACGGCTCCAGGTAGAACGGCTGCTGAAGGAAGAGCTCCAAGATTTCAAAAATGCCAGCAACCCAGCTCACGATGAACATTCTGAAAGAGATTGCAGATGAATCTTATCCAGACAGCTAACTGTGATGTGGTGTGCAAAACCGTACATATATGTATATATTGCATCTCTACCACATGACTGAGACCTTGCCTTCCCTCACTTTGGTACACCTCGTTCGACTTGCGATCCGTGTCCCCGCTTTTAGTCTTTCGTCCTGTTGTAGAAGCGGTACATGAAGCGTTGAACCTAAATAAATCAAAGTGAATGATGGTTGCCCAGAACGATTGATTTGCACCAAAGCAAAGGCGACTTGGGACAGGACAGGTCATTCAGACCTCATGATGCACCAGCGTGGGCGTAAGACCTCATGGAGTTAGAAAAAGGTTCCAACCAGAAGGCACTCATGCATTCAGCTGTTTCTCCCTTCTTGAGATATTGATTTATAGTGTATATAATCTACTGTAGCCTGCTGTTGCAACCTGAGATAATAGTCCTAAATGACACTGTTCAATGTGGTATGTGAGAAGGGGGCAGCATCAACGATATTAAGCAGAGACAATAACAATTGCTGGTATGTTTTTGCCCAGGCTGGTCTCGATATACTTGCAACGCTTTAATCACTTTGTGGGCATTGAGAATCAAAGGTCCGAAGCGCCAACCTTAAGTTTCGCACTAAGGTGCATATTGATCTGGAACCATGGTGAAGAAGCACTCTCCAAGGTGCTGGGAAGACATTCACCAGTGTTTCGGACGTTTCTGTAGCGCAGAAAGAATATCAAGGAAGAAGAGGAAGAACATGGAAGAACATGGAAGAACATGGAATGGCTTCACAACAGGACTGAATGGCTATCAAATTCCTTCGCAGCTATCCACGCAGTCCAGTAGACGTCCGAGTCTAGACTGACCTAAAGTCGGGGAGCTAAGATCTCCACCAAAGTCCAGTTGCGTCCTCCGGGTCGCCGAATGTAGCTGGCCGGGTTGCCTGAATGTCACGAGACAGCCCTCAGGGCACAATGCCATTGGTTGAAGGAGAATGATGATGACAGTGACGCTCCGCCTCTAGTCATTTAGAGAGTTCTTAGAGATGTACAGGAATTTGGGCACAAGGTGTGCTTGGGCATGGATCAGCTGATTCGATAAGCCATGCTTGTGGTGCCGGTCAGTCATGGTCAGACAAACATATTAAAGTTACTTATTGTCCAGTGTGCTGAAAAGAGAGTCTACTTGCGGCATCAAGTACAGAGAAGCGCTCGTTTGTAGAGGAAATTGCTCAGGTTGAGTGTTGGATGATCCTTCTCCACGCAACTCCTTAATATTCAGATCAAATAATTGAGATAGAGGTTGTGATCGTCCAAGCAACCCAACAATAGATAAAACACGTTTGTTGTTTAACTTTTTTTGACAAGAACCATTCGGTAGTTGGTTGTTCCTTCCAATATCTTCCAATGTTGTGGCTGTTTGTGCATCCGTCGCATCTGCCTTGATACCCCATTGGTTGGCATGCAGGTGGTAGAGCTAGAGGTCGACAAGTACTGCTCTCCGTGTGTTTGAGCCTGTTTTGAGACCTTGGGTGACCTTGGGTACAGCAAAGCTTCAGCAAGTGCGAAGGTGTAAAGCAAGCTGATTTCTCCATAAGCCAAGCAGCCTGCAGCTGTACAAAGGAAGCCACGCCTGGCCAAGCAAATCACTGTATTCTTGGCTTGGTTTGATGTGAAATTCAAAGACGTGTGCGGTGAGTTGTTCGAGGATTGATTGAAACACAAAATTAAGCACCATGTCACCATGTGCACTGGCCACGCCAAACCAAATGCTTTCAATATCTGAGATCATGGAGCTGCTGCATGAACTTTGAGATGCTGATTCTTTGCTGCAACTGCCTTTCCATAGTGGTTGTGCCAACATGATTGATCGTTTTTGCAGGCTTTTTCCAATGCATGGGATGCACAGCATGTGTTTGACACAGACCGAAGGAAGCTTGACTGACTGACTTGAATTGTTGTATGCAAGGGATCAAGGAGAACATATATATATATATATAAAGCATCATAAAGCACTGACTTGATTTGTTCATCAAGGATCCACATATCTAGGCACGCCCTTTATTTGTTTAGGTGTTTGTCAGGCTTGCAGCACAAGGTACCGTCTCGCATGCTCATGCAATCGCAATTGCTCATGGATTGGATGTGCTGGGCTGAAGAGCTCCAGGTAGAGCGAGGGGGCTAGTGACTCTGTTCAAACCTTTGGTGTCGAAGACTCTGCAAGCTTTGACGGGCGACTCTGCTGCTTAGGTCGTTGAACATTTGCAGTTTGATAGTGTTATGTGCTCAAATTTCAGATGTATCAATGAGAATGCATCGGGAATGATGTGCCTCACATCTCGCGCAATCCTTGTCAGGTGGGCGACGAGGTTTGGCACCAGCGCAGTACTGGGGAGATTGTGCGGGCCATTGTTGTTCCTTGGCTGAACGACCTGAAGGGTGTGATATAGAGAAGTGCTCAAGGACGAGTCGCTGAGCTTCTTACTGTCATTCTCTTGTTTGCTATCATGAAATACTCCTCTACCTGTCATCCCGTGATCGGGCAACGTGGCATATTGCCGTTTGCAGATCAAAAGGCGGTGCACCAATACACCGGCCTGACATGAATTGATCGCATCGTAGAGCTTTTAAAGTACAACCGCAAGAATAGTGTTCAGAAGGATTGAAGTATATCACTTTTTTATGGGGGCCCTGAATGCCTGAAAGTTCAGATCAGATCAAAAAAGCAAGAGCGGTGAGATTGAACAGATCCGAGGGATTTAGAAGGGAGATAACAGATATCAGAATGGGACAGTTGACTGGTGGAATTTGAGGCATCCGAAGTTGTCGGCGGAGGAATATACAAATAGTGCAAGGATTATATATATATATATGTTACCATTCATGCTGTTTTGGCATTGAAGGTAGATTGTGTTCTATACGTAGTCACACACGCACCCTTTTGCATTTCAGGGCGAGCAATGGCTGCTTTCTTTGGTGAAAGTTAAATGGTCAAAACCGCAGGTCAAAAAACACAAATAATAAGATATGAATGGCAGAGCATCAATCGATGGGGCAAACTCGTTTTAGCTGTGTTTGCTCACGGCATGCTTAGAGGTTTCCTTCAACCACTTGTAAGAAGACCTGACAAGATCAAAGGCTTTGGGGTATGTGTATATATACACATACATCTTGGAACATGAGCAGACAACAATCCCAAATTTGCCACAGCAGCACCCTACTAGCGATGGCCTCCAACCTAATAGCGATGGCCTCCAACCTAAGACGCTGGAAAAGAAAAAATAACAAGAGTCAAGAAAAGGCGAAACACATGTCCAGCATCGAAGGCATATATTGGCTGATCATGGCTATCAATTGTCCATGAAGGTGCAGAGACTTTTGATGTACTCCAAAGTCAGAGCAAACACACTTGAAAACTGCTGCAAAGACCTACCTATTAGATGACTCTCTTTAGTCTGCCCCACTTGAAGCGACTCTCAAGTTTCAAATGACAGCTGTTTCACCACAGCCTGACACAGAGCCTGAGCAATCCACGTAGAGCTGGACGCCTTTGAGAAGCTCACCTGAAAAACAGGTTCGATTGAAGTCGCAACTCACTGTAAAACGGAGAAAAAAGGCCTCAGAAAAAAAAGGTAAAATAAGAATCTCTCTGAGAAGCGCAAGAATGATCAAACCAGTCGCTTATCTTCAAATAGCCGCCAGCCATTTTCTTATCCTGCGCAAGAACATAAAAAACAATTGCAACGTCTGAGTCTGACTGTGCAGTCCTTTGGGCTGCTCTTTCCATACTCCTCTCCGCGCGGTTCTGTCTCATCATCGCTGAGGGAGCCAGACTCATCATCCTCATATGCCCTGGCCCTGGCCTCAACTCCCAGACAACGCAGTGCAACAAGTCGTTAGAAAATTAAATAGAAAGGTACATATTGGAGGCACTAGTAGTATGTACGTTGCAAAATGCAGGCATTGCACAAACGGCGGGGTTGGAACTATTGCAGGAAGCAAGCGAATGGTCCAACAGGGTATCGTTCAAACAAATTTGACACAACGCATGAAACAAGTTTTACACCAACAAATGTGGTTCTAAACAAGTGTCTGTCTCAAAGTACTTGCTCTAAAGGAGTTAAATCCTCCAACTGTGGAAGGTTTAAACTGGCTTGCTCGCCCTTCCAACCCAAACATGACGAGCAAACCCTTGATTCAGAGCAAACAAGGAGAGACGGCTGTTTTCTTTGCAAAGCAAACTTCCAGTGGCTAGTTTGCATAGCCTTGCTATCACTGCATTCAATCGCTTTGTTGCTCTAACATCGCTTTGCTATCACTTGTGCTTTTATATACATTGCTCTTCCTTTGCTTTGCTCTACTTTGCTGCTTTGCTTGTGCTGACTTTGCCCGCTTTGGTGGTGCTTGTGGTCTAAGCCCGTTGGTTTACAGGTGCCTTGATGATGCAACCTGCTCCAAAGAAAGGCATCATACAACGATGTGCGCCTCAAAGCGGGTAGCAAAGGCAACCCCAGCAGCTTCGCACTTGTTGAGTGGAAGCTCCTGACAAAAACAGAACTGGATAGTGATTCGTGCGACTGTGAGAAGTTGGTGCGAATCCTGGAGTTTCAAGTTACTTTCCCGCACCGTGATCGCAGATTCTCGCGCTCAGCACAACGAACTGAGATTGAAGCTTTCCAACAAGGTCCGAAGGTAAAGC